TTTAATATTTAAATAAAATATTTACCGAGCAAAATATTTGTATCAGATGGAACGGAAACAACTCTTATGAGTAAATCAAGGCGTTGAGCTTTTTTCTACGTTGCACTTTGTTTGTCAGCTACGCAATGTTCCACCGCAAGCAAATCAAAACGCGAAAGAAAGAAACCAAAACAATAAAAGCGATGCCCTATCGCAAGGAAACCAGAACGGGAAAGAAAAGGAGAATAAAGCGTATTTAATAACAAAATAAGCTGCTTTTGTTCTAGTATGGCGGGTTTACAGCAAGCAATAAATATATATTGATCAATTTATCAATCAATCTACCATGCTTACGTATCGTGATAAATAATATTTTTTTTACTAGGCTCCGTGATTTAAGTCAAAATAATGACCTAAATAAAATAAATCTCGCTTACTTATTCCGTAAAAAATTATATATGGACTTATATATGTTTTTTTTTTTTTTTTTGTTCTTTTTACAAAATAAGTGAACGAGAGACCGGAGTTGGAGCTTTTGCAAGTTGCAACGTCAGGACGCAAAGAGAAGTCGCTGTGTGCGAAGTCTGCCTCAGGACTGTGGCGCCATCTCTTGACTGGAGTTACTTCCACAACTTGCCCTGTCGACTTGTGTTCTCTTTCCATGTTTTTTTTTTTTTTTTAGGCGCCACGTTTATTTTTGGCTCCGGTCCCGCAGCAGTATTATGAGAGTAGGCCTTTCTTTAGCATAGAATTTAAGCCTAGAAAAACACAAGCTAGTCAAGTGACTCATCCGGCGTAATTCCCAGAGTTTGGGAATATTCGATGTGTCTATTCAGGTTTGAATAGACGTAAAAAAATGCATATTAATACTTTTGACTTTTGAATAGGTATATTATTGTAAGCGAAATAACAGACACTTTTTAGCTAAAACTTTTAAATGTATTTTTTTAATGAATTAATAGATTGCCTTTGCTCTTGCTTCCCATGAACAAGAATGTGGAAAACCATTTGTTGAAGAAAAAGAAATGCCTAGAATATTATTTTTTTTATATATTTCGAGATTCGCCAGCAAACAGAACGTTAATAGCTTCGTACCAACATACTTTGTGTGTGTGTGTGTGTGTGTGTGAGTGTGTGGTGAACACATTAAAAAAAATCGTTAAATAAGTGTTTGCGCGTTCACTTAAAGACAAACGGAGAGCTGACAGATAGACCCTCTTCACACATGTCAGCACTCTCTCCATCGTTCATCTATGAATGTAAATGAATCTTCCTGAGGCTATCTGAGGTTTGCTTAATAGAGGCCTTGTGGCTTCGCGGCTTCAACCGGGTGAGTCAAATAAGTAGAACATACATTAATAGCTCGCAAAAATAATGTTCCCATAGGCTACGACACTGCAAATTAATTATTAAGTGGGTGCAGGGAAGTAATTTTTTTTCGTAAAAATATGAGAGAAAACTTTGTATCACTCAAGATTTATAACTAAAACTATGATTCTATGAATCACGTTTAAATTGTAGGGTTCCATGTTTTCGGAAAAATCCGAAAAACTGCGAAAAACACGCGCCGGTAAAATTTTGATCATTTCGTAATTATCCGATAAACTCCGAATTTTGATCTGCCTACCCCCCCCCCCCTCCCCCCTCCCCCAAATAAGTTAAATAAAGAGGGTATTTCACAAATAAGTTTGATCAGCGCACAGGGTCAATGGTCACGGGAAAATGCCACCATAGTTATCTTTCAAATATCGGATCATTGACAAAAGGGGTCTTGCCGCTTATCTTGTCAAGGTTTGGGACTTTCGGGTCACGACAAAAGCCTCTGTATTGGTTTCCAGTTTGGGCCATACTATTTGTGTTTTAAGAGGAAGGAGAGGTTGTGTTCTTGCAAGAGTTCAAGCTCTGGACCAATGTGGCGATGCAGGCGAGTTGTTTCATGGTTACAACTGGTAGTAGAGCGCAGGGGCAAAGAACAAACAGTTGGTAGAGCGCTCCACTGGAAATGGAGAGGTCCCTGGTTCGATACTCTGACCAGGTGGATTTTTTCGACCGCGCACCAGCCACCTAGCTATGTTTGGAGATTTGCGTTTGTCCTTTGTTCCTTTTGTTCCCCTTCTCGAGGGATTATTTTCGTGATTCTTGTCCAGCTGGCTTGCACCTTTGAATTTAATTGCATTATAATCATAACCTTAGAATGCAAGCCTTTCACTCTTGTTGGTGTTAGACTGATGGCAGCTGATAAAGCCTGTTAGCTCTACTGACGTCTAACCCCTGGTTAGCTCGGTTGGTAGAGCGCTTCATTGGAAATGGAAAGGTTCCGGGTTCGATAGCCGCATCAGGCGGGTTGTTTCGGTCGCGTACCAGTCACCAGCTGTGTTTGGAGATTTGTGTTTGTCCTTTGTCCCTCATGTTCCCCTTCTCCAGGGATTATTTTCGTCAAAGAAGTAGACAGATAAGTCCTAACAAGCAGAGAAGCAACGATTAAGGACCAAAATTTAGGTAACCGAAACTGAGTGGAGCTGATAAGATCAAGCTTGCTTGACTCAAGGTATGCCGAAGCACCCAAGAAACTTCGTAGACCGAAGTTTTTCAGCCCGAAGAGTGACCGAAGAAACGAAGTCACTCTTCGGTGACCTCGCATTTTTACTGCGCTTATGTCACGCTAAACGCGCACATAAAGGTTAGGCACAATGTCTCTTCACTACTAATGCATGGGTTTTCGTGGGGTTCAGGGTAATATTTGAAGTGAATGGCTAAGCAAATTAAATTCTTTCCGTTATTGAGCGTCGTAAATGTATCTGCAATCAAGGATTATCTTAGGGTGATATGAAAGGGAAACTAAAGCAAAACTGTAATATTTAGACCATTGAGTTGCAAATTTTTAAAAATATTTTGAAGGAGCGGGAGTCGGGCCTTTTAGAGAAGTACAAGACAGATGACTAATTTAAGAAGCTGTGAGGGATTTTGGATAGGCTGGCGTTCCTTCCACCCCAGCTTGTGTCCGAAGGGCTAACCTACATCAGGGAAAAGTCTACCGGTGACACCGGCGACCAGCTGTACTACTTTGATGGCACGTATGTCAACGGCCCCTTTCGTTATGCTTCTGCTCCTTCTGCGGCGGCACTTAGAGCGAACTTTTCCCTTTGCCTGACTGTGCGCCGACGACGACCTGTGTTTCCCTTTGAAACGGCGGAATATGTACGACGCCACTCTTCAAGATAAAGACGGGATCAACAACACCTGCGAAGGATGATAATACCGGATATCAGAAGCCTGTCGGCCACGCCTATCCTAGCGTCTGGAGGCTCTGTGAATGCCTACAGCAAAATCAGGCGCTCGTTGCCACGGCATTGTCACGGCATTCACACAAGCCCGGAGAGGTGAACCTTCAGAGAAGCTGGTGCGAAAAACCACTCTGCGCCTGCAGAATTATCTGAAAAATATTTCTGAGGGGCTCCAGGTACACCCAGATCTCCCAAGACTGCTGGAGCTAGTAAGGAACTGCATTCGCTTCCAACCAATTGATAAGTCAACTTGTTTCTACTCTAATCAACAAACCATGCGCCTGTCAGATTTAATTTATCGTTGCATTTTAGTGTCGCACGCAAGCAACTTAGTTGTCCGCACTCCTGATAAGACCAACATGAAATTCACTCTCGGGGCCCTAAACTCGTCAAACGCAAAGTTGGAGTCGAAAGTTCGCGGAGCGCGCCGATTGGACGTCGGCGAAAAAAGCGCGCATCGTTGTGATAGACCAATCGGTGCGCCCCGCCAACTTCGGCCCCAACTTTGTGTTCGACGAGTTTACAGCCCCTGGTGAGCTTTTTTGTCCGGGTCTGAGAAAAAATGGGTGAGCTTTTGTCCGGTGAGCTTTTGTCCGGTGAGCTTCTGTCCGGTAAGCTTTTGTCCGGAATTCACAAATTCGCAGCACGTAAAACTGATTTTTGATTTTTTTTTTTGTTTTAAAGTGGGATCGATTGCTTTGATTTATTCGATATGTTTTTTTAACATCTATTTAAAAGTCATTGTTTATATTGTCTTCGTTTCTTCCTGACGTCTTTCCTTTCAAAGTTGTGCCATACCAGCTTGCAAAATTGGGCTCACTTGATCAAGCTGGTTCATACATTTGCGTTTCGGTGCGCCCGAGTGCGCCGATATCCCTCGCGACTGTTTACGACGGGAGAGCAGAATGGCGTTAACCTGTCAAAAGGCGCCTACACTTTTACGAATCATTCCTTAACCGTAGACTCGAAATGAATCGGACAACGCTACGAGCGACCATTACCCACAAATATCGCATTGATCTGATATCGTACCATACTGCGCAACCTTCAGTCTAATTCAGAAAATTTACGCAGATCGGAAAAAGAGGGGAGGTGGGCGGGCTGAATTACCCGCTAGATGGCGCCATTGTATTAGAGGAAAGGGCGGCAAAATCGAGGGAGGAAAAATAGAGATTAAATCTCATTAGGCCAACTTAAAACATCAGTTGATCCAGAACTAAGGACACTATTTGGCCAGGTGGCGCAAGCCACCGCCCGATCCGCAGCCGCCGTCCCTCTATCCATTCGTTAATCCACTCGTCCCTCGTGAGCTGCGATGTCAACAACACTGTCGACCACACACTCAAGCGTAAATCTGTCAACCAGCCTTCAAGTCGCCGTCACATTGCCAATACATCATAGGAAAGACAGCCTGCAGACAGTGCCTGAAGCGTGTTTCTTCCTTGTATGGCGGCCCTGTTCACATTAGTCATACAAACACTGTCTGCATACAAGTTCGAAGCAGACGTACCATGTATGAAGCAAACGTGATTCGAATATTCTCGATGCGCGTCCGCAGATAAGTTCTGTCATCGTGCCTGCAGACCACACGAGTGCGTCTTGTGTATGACGTATTGGGCAGTGCGACTGCGACCTTATTCGCGCATATGCGATCAAAATTTGGGGGTTTTACGTGCCAAACCTACGACGGGCATCTGGCACGCCCCAGCGGGCGTATACGATGCCGGCTGGACTCACGTAGTGGATCCCAGGGGTCGGGGCGGAGTATTCGCAGGTGTAGGTGTCGTCTTTGTTGTCCAACACCTTGACCGGCACCGGCCTGTTCTGCTCGTCGGTCAGCTTCACTTTGGGCTTGGCTGGAACGTGACAGAGTGGTGTTGCACACTCTTCCGCTCAAACACGCCGATGCTTTCGAACCAAAACCCGGGATTATGCAATCACTAAACCTTAAAAGCTTCTTTTTTTATATATCTTCATTTTATTGTACGTTAAACCAAATTCTCCATACAAACAATTGGGAGGAGATGGGGGGCAGGGGAGGGGCAAAGGGGGATGGGGGCTAAATCGATACTTAAAAAGGCGAGCTAAATATCTCGAAAAAACGCCCCCCCCCCCCCCCCTTCATAACTTACATAATATAACTGATCAAGCTTTATCAAATTCCACTCGGTCTGCTTCCTCGACAAACATTTAAAGTGAAAAAAAAATCATTTACGAAGGAAGTTGGGCAAGCGACAGGACAGAAGAACGAACTTTCGGCCTAGATACGTCCGCACGCGACACTGGAAATGTCAAGAGCATGTGTAACGCTAAGCTGAGGGTTCCCTGCAGTAAAACAGCCCAGCCACGAGAATCTGAATCTCAAAGATACAATTGTAAAAGAAGGGGGGTACAAATACGCGCTAAAACTAATTTACTAAATATGTAAGCATTATTTTCAGGCAATGTCGTTAATTTAGAAACACTAAAATATTCAACTGGGTGGTGCAAAGCCCTATCGCCCTAGAGGTGTAAACGTTCAAACCTGATTTTCGCTCTCTAGAAATTGGAGAAGTGCCAAACTGAGACGGGAAGTATCGTCAAGATATGGACGGATTCGTAAGTATCTTACCTTTGCCGGCAGCTTTGCAGTCCACGTAGAACTTGGTGGGTGTCTTGGACGTGACGCCCTTTTCGACGCCCGGGCCGTACACTCGCACTTTGCCCGGGTCCGTGTTGTCGGCCACGTTGATCTGCGAGCGATGCCGTACCTCAGAACCCACACTCTTCACTCGAAATCTATTCAGTGTATGCTGCCTCGTAGAATTTGAACCCCTATGCAATTTCTAATTTCTCCGTCAGTTCCACGAAATACTAACTATCAAATATTGAAGAGATTGGTGTAGCCAAATATGAGCACATAAAATAACAAGAAAAAAATATACCTCGTGTCACAATTCCGCCAGATGCCAAAGTACACTGCGAGACACTATTAGTTCAAACAGGACGCCGGCGCTTTTTCTTTTCTATTTATCTTTCTCAGACAGTGTAATGATGGTCAGCAAACTTCACCGCTTAGATTATTGCCCTGATCAAGAACTTTCCGGAACACTAGTGAATGTTTTTTATAACAGCGGTTGCTTTATAGGAAAAAAAGTAAAACCTGGCAATGACTCGTTCACGCTAGCAGTGTCGCGCTGTGTACACTCCTAAAGAAAGTCCGTGAGCCCACTTTTCTTCGGAACACGGCAGTGGCGTAGGCAGGAGGGTAATTTGAATGACTACCCAATTTCTCCAGCCAGCCGGGAGTTGAGGACGACCGTGTCCGTACCCGTGAATTGTACAGTATATCGACTACTTCACGCGAAGATGGGAGAACCCCCCCCCCCCCCCCCCCCCCCCCCGATAATAATTTCTGGCTACGCTACTGAAACACGGAGAGAGCCATCGTGGCGATTAGGAAGCGAAGACTATCCCCGGCGATAACTTTTCTTGACAATGCAGTGGAAGTTGAGGAGAGCCCGCGCACAGTCTTATCCAGCGCTCAAAATGGGACAGGGAACGTGTGCCTGTACCCTTCACTGCATTGCAAAGAAAAGTATCGGAGCTCAGAACACGATTAAAGAAGAACGGGTAAAGCGCGATCCAAACCAACGCGTTTTTGTGCGCGCCTAGGCCGTGCGCTTCCCGGAAATTGCGTATTTCGTGACGTCGCGCTGATTCCTTGCGCCTTCCGGGCGCGCATAAGAAAGTTGGATGATTTCAACTTTTTCTGAACACGCACGAAAACGCGCTCTGATGTAGAAGGGCGCTCCTCTCCCATATCCTCTCCCGGCCAATTGGTGGATAGCCTCCTCTATACGGAGAAAGCCTGGCACATCGACGACGGAGCCATAGAGCGCGCGGCCGCAGGAAAAAGGAGAGGAGGAGCGCGCCGAATGGTGACCAATATGGTAGCGCAGAGCAGAAAGGGCAGACCTAGACAGCGAGCGCTTGGGTCATAAGCGGCCGCTCCCCGAACCACGCTTGCTTTTGTGTTTTCGTCACCGTCGTTTTCGTACTCAGGGAGAAACGGGCGCGGCGATTCGAAAGGGCGCAGGGAGAAACGGGAAAGGGTGGATGTTGTTTTTCCCCTCTCCGCGATAGCGACAAGAAAAGAGAGAGAAAAAAAAAAAAGATTGTTTCTGCGTTTGGCCGCTCGCTCTTTTGAGGCGCTAGCAGTCAAGGATCTCTCCGCTCCCGTTTCTCCGCCCCTCCTTTCCCATTTACGGCGGCCGTCTTTTCACGCGACGCGCCAGGCTATGGTGGAGGGCACCAGTCCCGTCTCCGCGTGTCTTCGCCGTCTGGCGCAGATGCTCTCCGCCCGCCCGAAAGCGCACCGTCCTAACCGGCGCGCATGCTTGTAACTCGAAAAGCGCACCGGAAAAAAAAAAAAAAAAAAAAAAAAGTCACGAAGTACGCAATTTCCGAAAAGCGCACGACCTACGCGCGCACAAAAACTCGTTGGTTTGGATCGCGCTTAATGTGCATGGAGACAACGAGCATGACGTTTTACTTGCGCACTATCCTTTACACACTACGAATTTTTCAAATTTACTCGTATTCTGAGCTCCGTCATTGGTTAACCTGTTGAAACCTCTTAAAATTTCTTAAAAGTAGAGAACACACTGGCACGCTGGCGCCATCTATGTGGTGACCCTGGAACTGCATTTCACAAGAGCGAAGGTTTTGCGGGATTTCAACTCGACTTGGTCGTCTGCGTCGCCGCCCGCCGTTGACCAGGGCAAGTTTTTTGGGCCTATTCTTTACGGAAAGGGAGCTACACCTTGTAATTTTACAAAAAAAGCTGACCCATGAAATACACCTTTGACAAAAGGTTTAGATTTCTACGTGCAGGCGTCGATTTTTTCGGTCCCTTTTGGACCGAGCCTGGTGACTTGAGACACCCTATATGTATACAAGAACCAAAAAGAAGGGGGGATGGGGGGCTGCAGAGTGTCTTTTGTGTCATGGTTTAGCAGGGTGACCGTGGCTTTAGCGACACAGAATTTGCACGGATGACTAGCAAGTTTGACTTCCAGTCAGAGGAAAGAGCGAACAGGACTATGAGGCCATGTTGTGCGATGACGTCCTTTTGTCTTCCTCACCCTGAAGGGGCTTCCGGGGACGGCAACACCGGCATAGTTGACCTGGACAGCATGCTTGTCGCAGGCTTCCGTTTTGTAGGAGCAGGCGTACGTGTTGTCGCCGTTGTCCTTCACGTTGACATCCACCGTGTTCCCCATGGCGTCGCACACCACACACTCGAGTGGAGCCTTGCCGCCCGCCTGGGTGGCGTCCACTGTGAAGTTCGTCGGCACGCCCTGGACCACTCCCGTGGGCTGCAGTCCTGGTCCTTGGGCAACGACCTGCGACGGAACGTTATCAGAAACAGAGCTCAGACGAAGACGGTCGGTCAACGAGGCCAGCTCATTTAACAACGTGTTGAAAAGTTACGTCAGTGCGAGTTATCCCATCAGCGACGTTGATCGAAACCAAATGTTTCAAACGCTCTGACGGGTCTGGTGGTGTATTCCGGTGGAGATCGGAGAGTGCGAGGTTGTGTGTAACGAAGCAGCTTCAGCGTGAAGAAAGGTTGTGTCAATCTAGATTGAGCAGCGTCAAATCATGAGCACTTTCATAGGGCTCAGAAGTGAATTTTGTTGAATGGAAATTTCTCTAGTGGTCAGTCTTTGTGCAATTTTGGCTTCTCACCTTTCCGCGATATGCGAGAGACTGTCCGGCGCAGTTAATTGTTCTCGGTTCAAACTAATTTATTAAAATCAAAATTTATAGTGGAATCAAGCAATAAAATGAAGGAAGTAAGTGAGCTTTGAATTAAAGCTCGCTGAGATGATTATCATGGCCATAAGGTGTCATTTACGCTACGGTTATGCCGTAACTACAGGAAAAAGCTCGTCGAAAACTAATCGTGGTATGAGATGGCGGTTAGCTAGAACGTTTTCTTCGCTGTACCTTTCCGACCCGGTATATGGCATAGTGATAGTGGTTCGCTAATGTCCAAATGTTGAGAAGCTGCTTTCGGGTTTGGTCACGTGTCGTTACGTTAGGACACTATTATTGTCTGATACACGTCAGCATAAGCATGTCAAGATCCTCCCACGAAACCTCCATGCTTTCCACTTCAAAATATCGAACGCTGCAGAGGGGGCGAGTGCAGAAGAGAAAACCAGAAATCACGACGAGCAGAGTACTTTGTGAAAGATACTTATTCTGCTTTTCTTAGCCAGCAACCGACATGCTATAGATAACGATTCTCACTTTGTCTGGCGCGCAGTCGCTCTGCGGCATGATGTTGGCGATCCAGGGGGACTTGGGGATGTCCTCGCCGTTGCAGAGCACGTGGACGGCGTAGTCGCCGGGCGCGGTCGGGAAGTACTTGACGCCGGCCGAGCCGTCGCCGTTGTCGTGGCACTCAATCTTGGCCTGGGACGGCCCCTCGATGGCGAATCCCAGCTGGCCGGTCTCGCCGTTGGTGTCCACAGTAAAGGTGGCCGGGTAGCCGACCAGGCCACCGGACAGGCCCGGGCCGTACGCGATAATGCGGGACTCCTTGTAGGGGCCCACGTTCACCTCGTACGGGCTGCGGGGGATCTCCTGGCCTCCGTACGAGATCATGACCACGTAGCGGCCTTCCTTGACGGGCATGTAGTTGCAGTCGAACGTCTTGCCCTTGGCCGTTATGTTCACCTTCTCTTGAACTCCACCTGCAGCGGCAGAGTGTAGCGCGTGTTTTGTAGCTAAAACAGCAATTTCTGGGGAAAAATTAACTTGTGCAACGAGGTACCATCTTCTAAGATGAATGCCTTTTAAGTTACACAGCGAAATAAGTCATGCTATATTCGCTTCCGTGTAGACCACAGTCTTCGCAGCAGTTTTACGTCATCACAACAAAAAATATCTTTTAAAAGGAACATATATTTTGTTTTTATTTGTATGCCAAGTGTCTTGCCAGCATACTCTTAATTTAGAGCATAATTACAATGTTTACAAAGGCGTAGTATATTGTCCCCGGTGGCATGCCAACATACTCTTAATGTAGAGCATAATTACAATGTTTACTTTACAACGGGGTAGTATATTTTATCTCGGGTGGTGCTGTTGTTAGAGAAGCACGACTTCGCTATACAATTTAGAACGAGTGCATCTCCTAAGAAATATTAATACCCTTGAGTACAACAAGCGCGTTATACAAAAAAGACATTAGAAAACAAAATTGCACATTTTACACCAGTTATACGTTTGTTTAAACTCTCCAGCTAGGCATGCTTATTTTAAATAAATAGAACAATACGGTCTCGCGCAGGTCTAGTAGAAATATATATACATATATTGGCCGCGCATTATCAAATGGTCGAAATGTTGAACATCGATATATATATGTATATTGGAGACAGAAAATACCATACAGATACATTATGCTGCGCATTCTCCATGCCCTTTTTTTCCGAAAAAAGTTAGATGCTTTACCATATATTCAAATACCGTGACACCATTTTTCGGTGACAGCCCATGCGGTCAAAATGCAAATGTTAAGGCACGAGAGTTCACGTGAAAACAGTTAACATCGTGATGGTGTGAATAATGTGATTTCATGTGTCATCATAATAAGATTCGGATACCATTTGTGGGTAGTGCGTGTAGATCCAAACCATGATTGCATAGTATTCAACTTGAAATGAGGTACCGTCGACCCGAGTCTATCGTTTCAACGCCTGTATATAGGGCTCTGATCACGAAAATCTTGTCTCACCTGGCCCCAGCACCTTGACCTGTAGCTCGCCATCTCCCGCATTCTCAGCGAAGACTCGGAAGTCAGCAACGTCCCCTACGCGGACGCCGTTCTTCTGCAGGCCTCGTCCTGAGGCCCGCACACGGCGGGGGTTGCAGGCTGTAAAAGAAACAAGACAAACTATGAGAATGCTGGCTAGACAGTGAGCTTTTCGATAAACCTGGTAGTGGAGGTACTGGGACACGGACGAGTAACTCCATAGTTTCATGTCCGTTTAAGCTCCAGATACGTGCACTTGTTTGCAGTAATAATTTAAATGGATATAATATGGATTTGGGAAGAGAACGCCGTAAGCGGGGATGCAGTGTTCCTCTAGCTGCGTCCCACACTCAACGATGAACACTTACGGGGACCCACGTTGACTTTGAAGGGGCTTCCGGGTACCGGTCTGCCGGCGAAGAGCAGGTTCACCTGGTGCGGTCCCTCCAGCGTGGGCATGTACTCGACGTGGTGCTCGTCCTCCTTGGTCTTCTTGACACGGACGGGGACGGCGTTGTGACCACCCTTGGGATCCACGATGTCGACGTCCACCTGGCCCTTGCCGGCGTCTGCAAAGGCGGCGGCACGGGTGCTCATCTCGTGACTGCCAAGACGTGCCCGGCTAACACACCCTTGGAAAACACGTCGAAGTGCGTGGGCACGCCCGCGCTGACGCCCGTCGGCTTGAGGCCAGGACCGGAAGCCTTCACCTTGGACGGGTCGCCCGCGTACCCCTCCACCTTGACCGGGAAGGGACTCTTCGGTACCTGTTTGCCGGCGAACTCCACCTTGACTTTGTGCGGACCCTCCTTCTTCGCCGTGTAAGTGGCCGTGTACGTCTTGGCCTTGTCGTCATTGTAACGGATGTCCACCTGCAGCGAGCGCGAAGAAATCGATGAGCACGCGTGACTGATAGACGTGGTACGCCCGCAGCAAGATTACGACCAACTCACGGGCAGCTGCTGTCCGGCAGGCGCCTCGACGACGGCCGTAACGTCGCCCTGCCCAGCGCTGAAGGTTTCCACGGTAAAGCTAGTGGGCGCACCCACGACGACGCCCGTGGGCTCGATACCCGGTCCGTAGCAACGGACGCGAGCGGGGTTGGTCTGCAGCTTGAGTGGAGCCTTGTCCTTCAGCTTGGCGTTAGGGAACTGGGCCAGGTAGGTCATCATGGACAGTTCATCCACCTTGGGGTTCACCATGTCCTCGGGCGTCACAAGTTGCGGCACACCTAGCCACTCCGAAGCCAAGTCCATGGCCTCCTTGGCGTTCTTCAGCGCGTTCTTGGGGTCCCAAGTGGCCCAGTTCGGGCACAGACCAGGAGCCAGGGCGTCGACTAAGGCACCCACTGCAGTGCCGTCGTTCCAGTCCGATGTAAAGTTGGTGATGGGCTTCTCTGGAAGCTTGCTCTGGATCCAGCGCAGCAGGCGCTGCTTGGGCGTTGGCCCGCTCTTGTCGAAAGCCGAATCGTCGTCTCCCTCCCACATGGGAAGGGAGATAGAGTAGTGCAAGATGAGAGTCCATATCAGACCCAAGATGAGCTTGAGCTTGCAGTCGACGATGTCCGAACTGTCTGCAAATGTCGATCAAGACGATACCCTGTATTGGTACACTAGAACAGACGGACTCAGTACCACGTTTTCAAATATGTAGTAGTTTATCAGTCCAGCTACGCGTTAACAGATAAATATCTGAGCTTGATTAATTGCAGCCTCTACAGTATATATTCCCTCGAGGTAGCTCGTCAATAATATTCTAAATCAAGGACAATCACTGCACAGCCACATGAAACGGCTAAGACAAATACACGAGAGAAAAATACTGGTTTAAAATATTTCTGTTCATAGTCGGCCCGTATGATTTACTTCGCTTTACTATTATAGGCAGGTTGTTGCTGTTTCCATAAGTGTAAAGGTGATCCTACGTCGAAAAGTACATGGCAGCTACCTTAAAAAATAATGGAAAATTTATTTGGCACTTCGAACAGTATGCCACAGAGATATTTAACAAATTTTGATACCTGCTGACTAGTAAAGCTAATTGTGTTATGCTTATATTTAACGAGCGGAAAGTTATAGTCAGTCCCTGTGGGCGTCTAGTGTCTCAGCTGTAGACGAGAAATTAAACCAGTGCAGTACAACTGGTAGCCTGGTATCTTTAAGAAGCACCATGCAATAGTTATACACGACCGCACGCTGGTACGATGCTTATCCAGATCGAAATGGGCAAGGGTGGGGTTCTAGCTCAGGATCCAACCATCCAGCATTCGCTCCCCGTGTCACTCGGTCAACGATGAAATTCAAAGCAACCTGTCTTCGAATCTATTATTAATATTATTACCTGCAGGCGTGGTACTGCTTAGACGCCTCGATGCGACTAAATAGAATGTGCGAAGGTGGGCGAAGGACCCATTACAAGTTCACTTCTTTTTTTCTTTTTCTTCTCTTTACCGCTTCAGCACTTTTAGGAGTTTCTGCGCGCACGCCACACAACAAAACACTCGAAGCACCGATCTCTTCTCTCCCTCTAATCATTCTCCTTCTCAAGCGGGAACGCTATGAAGATGTACTGCGCCATGCAGCCCCCCTCAAGAACCATTTTCTCGCTCTACCGCTCCCATCCAGGCGCCCAGGAAACCCAGCTTCCCTCGAGAGAGAGCGAAAGAGGGACACAACCCACCCGTGTTTCTATATCCGGACCTCCATGACATAACACTACGAGTCTGCCTATTTTCTTTATATATCGTTTAGGCTCTGCGGCAGAGGCATACAGCTCGCTTAAACTGTTTATCCGGAGACAGACTGAGGACGAGAGGAGACCCGGATTGAATGCCAGAGCGTGAAACACTCGCAAGTTATGCGAAGTGGAAGTCCAAGCCGCTTATAGCGTGGTGCGGTCCCTCGGTGCGCCAAGGGAATTAGGAGGCTGCAATGCAGAAGAGTGGCCGACAGCTCAAGAAAGGAGGGGCGTGGCTCAATTTGTTCACGCCTCTTGCTCCGCGATTCGTTCTCTGTCGTTCTTATCAGCTGACACCGCAATCTCGTTGGCGGCGAGGCGATAATGAGGTGCTCGGGACAGGTGACTATGCATAAAATTATATTCTCTGGCGTGAATCTCCCAAATGAATTTTTACGATAGGATATCAGCTGCTGGCTTTCAGTCCATTCTTTGCGAGAAAGGCTGTGCTCACGAAAGTGCCTGACAAATGAATCTTTTCTTTTCTTTAATTTTTTCAGAGTTATGTTATTGGATATAAGAAGATTCCAATTTAGCCTTTTGAGGAAAAAATTTTCTAAATTTTCTGAAGCTTCGTTTGATTCGATAAATACTCTATATGTAGCCCCCCCCCCCCCCCCCTTTCCCTCCAAAACTAAAACTTATTCAAACAACTTTTTTTTATTACTTCTTTAGTGAGGTCGAATAAAATCAACAAGAATCAATCCACAATCATTTAGGATTTTCGATATTCGGATATTTTAATAGAATCGCTTGGATGAAACAGCCTTTTAACGCCGCAATTTCTTTCGGCGCTATTTTTATAGTTGTTGTTATTGTTGTCATCCAATGCTCTTGATCTCTTCCCATTCCACTCATTCCGCCTCAAAATGATAGTCATTGGCAGCATAACATACACTGGGACATTAGCCGATGATTCCGCCTCCTCATCGGCTAATCTCCCAGTGGATGTTCTGCTGCCAGTGACTAGGGTTGCCTTCGTTCTGAGGTGGAATGAGTGGAATGGGAAGAGGTCAAGAGCATTGGATGGCAACAACAACAACAATAACTCAGCCAATCAGACTGGGGCATTAGTCGATGAGAATTCCGAAGAACCAATCACGAAGCATGCTCATAATAGGCCACACCTTCCGTCTCTTAAGCTATCCATGACCGTATCGCGGAATCAGTTTGATACTGCCAACGTCGTTGCATAAAAATGACTGGAAACTAGGGTTGTGCGAATATTGGTTCGAATCAAATAGTGCTGCGTCATTGATAGCCTTGACAGCGTAAGGAAAAGCCAAACCGACCGGTTCTTTCAACAGTGCAGAAGCTAGAGATGACGCTATTCGATTCGAACTACTATTCGCACACCCCTACTGGAAACACGAAGTCCATTCGGTGAAACCGGAAATGCCTCTCTGACGCTGCAGGATTGGAAGGCGAGGGAGTGCGTGGGTCGTTGCCCGATATATCCGTGACACCCCAAGCTAAAGTAATACAGGACTGGAATAACGCGGCGATAGCGATAGCTCTCACGCCACAAAAACTTTTTTGTTTATCCGTATAAAATTACCTTTCCAGCGGTCCTCACGCGGGCGAAAAAATGCCGGATCACTGTGCTGTGACTCGGCATTTTTTTCGCTGTGTTATGACTCGTCATATTATACGTACTATGACTCGTATTGTACCGAGTCACTGTGTTATAAATCGGCATATCATACGAAACGTTGGTATGATATTCCGCAGAAAAAAGCTACAGCGCATGCTCAGAACACGTCTCAGATTTAGGCAGACAAAGATGGCAGCGCGCAAAAGGCGCGCTGCCATCCCGTGCCATTTTGTAAACTTGTATTGAAGTTGTCTATACATGATTACAAGTGAGAGTTTTATTTACTACTTTGATGTCAACTCCTTGGAACAAGTGACATCATACACATATCTTGGTGTTCATTTAACTTAACCTTTCATGGAGACCCCATATCGAGTATATTACTAATCGTGCTACCGGCATGCTGGATTGCCTAAAACGTAATTTTTCCATGGCGCCCGTTTCGCTTACATTGGTGCTCTATAAAAGATTAATAAGACCTAAGCTAGAGTATTCAGCCTCCATCTGGTATCCCGGTAACAATACCGTCGTCACTGGTTTGGAATCCATTCAAAATAGATCATCCCACTTCATTCTATCGAACTATTACCGCACCGCCAGTGTCTCGTCACTGAAAAACAGTTTAACCTTACCATCTCTTTCACTTCGCCGTAATATTTCACACTTATGCCTTTGCCATAAAGTTTTATTTTCATAATCAATACTATTACGCCACCATTTCGTAACTCCCCCCTATTACATATCGTCTCGTGTTGATCACCAGCACAAACTTAGAGTCCCAAACTCATTAACCAGCACATTTCATTCATCTTTTCTACCACGCACAGCTGAAGAATGGAACCAGCTTTCCGGTTTGATCGTTGCCACAACTGACTCCAAACTTTTTCGAAGTGCCACGACTAACCCTTTTTTTGAGCTGACTACTGACCTATTTGTTTCACTTATTATAATCTGTTTACTGTATTGCTGATTTGTTACATTTTCCTTTCCTTTTCATGCGCTCTCCCTCTTTGTAGTGTCTTCGGGCCCTGAGGGTGCAATAAATAAATAAATAAATACGGTCTCAGGGCGCTGTCATTTTGCTGTTCGTGCGCTTATATATCGTCTGACAGTCAAACCTTGACGATGTATGCCCACGGTCGCCAGACTGGTGCCCCAACAGGGCGTTTCCTACTCATGGTGGCCAGGCTATAGCTTTTCAAGTGTGCCTGCTTGCAAAGGTGTAAAGCTTGGGGTATACATACTTATTTGCGTATTCTTATCTGTCTGGTTTTCTCTTTTATGTGACGTTAATTTCGTAAAGGACAATTTATACCTCTTTCTAAATATATTATTGCTTCATTGCCATCTTTCATTAAATTCAGCCTCCCGGCAATAAATTACCAGCGTTGTAAAGGCAGCCAAATATGTTGGCCATGAGTAGTGCACACTGTTACATCGAATCAATACTTCAACAAACATGGTACATGCGTTGTGCTGTAACAAAAAGGAAGCAACAATCTTGAAATTCACCTAGCGGAAAGAACAAAACGGGAAGAGGGCTGTTCAATCTTCTCCCCTCCTTTTTCCCTTCCGATAGAGGAATACTTATAACTAAGGCGCTCGTCACGAATGTAATCTTGAAATGTTTAATAATATGTATAGTTTATAATTTCAATATGTAATGAATTCACGCGCAGCCATAGCTTCTTTCAATCTCTCGGGTAGATGAAGTTAGACGTGTAACAAGTATCGTTTTGAGCAGCGAATCTAGCAAAGAAATAGGTTGAGTACGTAGTTATAGGGCGACAAAGGAATATATGGCAAGACGCGGGTGATGTCTCATGCAGAAACGAGACAACTTCAACACCACCGAGTTTAAATATAAAAAGAAAGCAGTCTCCTCGGTATATGAAAAGAGATCACGTAGCGTTAAACAAAGTACCTAGCGGATGTTTCTTCATTCTTACCAGAAAAACCAGTCCCATGTAAGGGCCGTAGTGGTTTCACGAAACATCCGCAATTCTTCCGCAGACATATGCCATTACTCATGTCCGCAACGCATAAACCGCCTTGCTCATACGCCTATTTAGGTCGTTTAGTCACGCTTTTTTAATGACTAGATGAATCGTGAGCGAAATAAAGCAATTAAGTTTAAGGCAGAGGAACAAAAACTTTACAAAAGTGCATTGTTATAAAAAGAAACCGTTGTTCAGAGCTCAAGTTCTCATCTGAAAAAAAAAAAAAAAAACACACACACAAAAAAAAAAAAACGGAAAGACATAGTTATCACGTCCAAGACCACGTTTGTTCAAAGCTCAAGTCCCTGTCAGGACGCACAGGCACTTAGATTGCGTCTCTTCTCGCCTATCTTTAAAAAGAAAAAAAATATATATATATATATATATAATAAAACTTCGTAGTACCGGTGATAGCATAGGCAAACAAACTTCATTCTTTTCTTACTTTTTTTTTTTCGGCTTGTTTTGTCTGCGGTGGTGTCTAGCAACTCTCGGCATCCTGCCAACTGTCATCCCAAGCGTTTACGTCTCGCCCTCTACTTCGCCATACATCCCGGGGGAAAAAAAAGAAAAGAAAGAAAAATTACAACCTCCAGACGCAGAAAACATTAGAGGAAAAACGCCAGCGACGCAAAAGGCGGTCAAGCCTCATCAATCAACCCTCCGGTCAATCAATAGACTTATACAGTAATGAGAGTGATGTTCGGTTCGAAGCCAGCACCCAGCTACGCCCCGCTCCTGCCCTCGCCCTTGTCACGTGACAGACGTCAGAGGCATCGGGCAAGCTCCCGAATCGCCGAACTGGTTCGAAAAAAGTGGCGCCAAACTTGACCCCTGCAACCTGTTGCCTCGAGCATTTAGTGAAACGGGTCTTCGGCGCGCAAAAACAGAACGTTGCCGCCGCGTCGGCCTCGCAGAACAGGACCGAATTCAGGTCGCCCTGACAGCGACTAAGCCTAGCCGGCACGACCGGCGCGCAGGTAACGGTACCCTCTCGGCTCGCCGGTATTTCGCCGGCGGAATGCGGCGCTCGCCCATGCTGGAAAGCTGAAACCGTACTAGCGCGCCCTGACGCGTGCTTGCATGCGTGCTCTCACTCACCGATGTTCACCAGCTTGATTCCCTCGTCGTTGGTGAGGAACTTGAGCGCCACGCAGACGTTCTCGAGCTTTTGCGAACGGAAGGTGGGCCGCTTGTTGTGTTTGGGCAGCTTCTTGCCCGACAGGACCTCGATGAGCGCGATCAGACGCAGTCCGTCGGCCAGGTCAGTCTCGAGCGACGCTAGCGTCTTGTTCACCGTCTTGAGGTGCTCGTTGGCCCAGCGCGTGAACGTGTTCTGCTGGATCCGCTTCCAGACGGCATCCTCAGCGAGTTCGCGCTCCATCACGTTCTCCTCTTCTTCGCCGGCCACCGCCCTGCTGCCTCGCCGATCCGCCGACGACGCCATCCTGCCTCTCGTCACTTCCGCCGCTGCTCTTGCGATGCTGTCCCTGCCTCTGCTGATAGCGGTCGACCTGTCGAAGCAGACACGCTCGTCAGCGGACCTCCGGCGCTCGAGCCGCGCCGGAGCCGGGACTTGGCACACGCGGGTCGGGAAACCAGCTGCGGGCCCGTACTGCGGCCCCGAGCTCTGGCGCCGCGCAAGTTGTTCGTTAGGCTGATTGTCTCCAGAGTCGTTAACGCGAGCGCTGAACGAAGCGGAGGGAAAACGTACCTGGCCGGTTAGTTCGCTCGTTGGCTTCCTGGCTGCCGCAGCTGTCCTCTCGCAAGGTGGCCGCTGTCAAAGAGTCCCGGCCGCTCGCCTCCTGGAGCCGCCCAGCGGCATTTCAGAGTCGCGCAGGCGGCGCTGCGCCCGCCGCTAAGAATAGCGGACGGGGCCAGAGCCTGCCGGAGTTCCTCCCCCGCCGCCACGGAGAGCCTAATTTGGCCAGACCGAACCTGAGATGCACACGTCGTCAGAAAGTCCAGGAGGGGACAGAGGTTGCGCGACTCTCGGCCGGCCCACTCCGGGGGAGGTTCGAACCCCGCGTTGTGTCCGCGTTCGAACCCCAAGGGTGAGGACCGCTCGACGAAGAGTTTTAGCCCCAGCTGGCGCCCGGCCGCAGTTCGAAGGGTGCGCTCGGGTATAGCCAAGGTATAGCTGGTGCCCCTCCCAGCTGAGCGTCCCCTCTCCCATCATCCGTATCAGAAGACATAGGGTCGACACCCCTCTCTCTGCTGGAGTTGGAACAGCGAGGAGCGGTGTGAACGGCGACAAGAGGGGGAAACCAAACTTCAAGCTTACACTACGGGTCATTGCCCTCGCACGGTACCACGGGTCTCCGATTTGAACCTGCACCCTGATTTGAAGACCCGGGTTACGTGCATTCAGATCACTGTTGAAAGCCCCAATTAAACGGGCTAGTGTATTTCGGTGTGTGTGTGCAGTTTTCCCCGCGACTCTGCAGTGCAATGTTATATATCTTGATTTTATTTGTTTATTTACATCAGGTACTATGTTTGACACTCTTAAGTTCAGCAATACATTTTTATTAGTTTATCGTGTTCTTATTCACATTGTGTTATCCCTACGATAGTTTTTGTTTTGTTTTAGCGCGCATAAACACTCCGAATAAATTTGACCCCTGTTTTTTGTACACGGGCCAAACCCAAGGACGAATAATCACGGAGTCTTTTATCGGGTGCGGTGTAAAAGAGATGAGACTTCGATACGGGAGAAGTTATATCACGTGTTTGATGTCCTTTCGAGCTTTATTGTTCTCAGTCATTGGCCTAATACGCATTTGTCAGTCATCGTCTCACAACACCATCCAGCAGGTTACAATAATCTCTACTATTTTCTTAATTTTTCGGGTTATCTCCGTGTCCGTGGAAATGCGCACTTTCGCGCAATTATCTTTTTTTTGTTTTGTTTTGTTTTTTCATTGGCAATGTTACTTACGTTTTAATGTAACAACCATGCTCTTGAAATTAAGAAACATTCGATTTGGACCATTCACAAAAACAATCGCAACGTCGCAATTTGTGGATTCATTATCCTACTACTGTTGACCGCCACACAAATGAGTGACTTGTTTCCTGTGCGCTTTGAAGCTTGTACCCCTTTCAAGCTTAACCTTCGATGCCATTTTTAAACTTGTTGGCGGGGTGTTTGCTTTGTCGATTTTATTTTTAAACGTCCAGTTCCTCTTTAGAAACACACAAAGCTCGACGCTGGAAAGAAAGAAAAAAGGAAAACAGACATGACAGTTTTAAAAGTTAAATACGCACCTACTTTTTTTTTTTTTTTTTTTTTTTTAATAGTTAAGCGACGACAGGGTAAAACGTGAGGTAGGTCGCTACAAAATGATGTGTAGGGTTTATGACCCCACTAAACCTAGACGAATTTGCCACGTGCGGGCCTTTTGGGAGGTTTTCATCGGAGCACCCTGTTCACATTTAGAGCCCCCCCCCCCCCCCTTTTTTTTTTCTTCTTCTCTCTTTAACATTTATTTTACTTACACAGGGATACGCCAACGTTGTCCTCCGCATCGATCGATTGTGCTAGATTATCAAAATAATAATAATGCGTCTTGATATTTCTGTTTCAACTTTTCTTGGCATTTCTGAGGAGAGGAGGGTACCGCACAGCTTTAATCCGAGTACGTGCTTGTACCTTTAAGTGCATTGCCAAGAAACGTTTTCCCTGAGTATCCTACCCCCCCTCCCCCCCTCCCCCCCCCCCCCCCCAAAAAAAAAAGATAAAAAAATGGTAAAGATCTTTTTTCACACATCAACTGCACCAGGTGGTGGCTGCACGAACTAAAAATCGAAGAAGTGACCTGCCTGCGCTACCGATCGATAATATGGGAGCTACGCTACCAGTTTCTTCGCTCTCTGAGCAGCGGCGCGTGCCCAACGCGACTTTAAAGAGGGGCATCCGTGGCGTCCACCCAAACGTCGGGTTTTCCTTTCCGTCGACGTTCTTTTTTTTGCGTAACACAATTATATATATATATGCTGCAATTTGCGTGTTCTACTCGCTGATCCACAGCCTCCTTCCGAATTTCCTCGATTTTTCGCGCCGATTTCCGCCGCTTGGTATCGGGCGCGTGCGCAGGACGCTTCTCGGAAAAGACCCATTTGAGGTCAAGGTGGTGAGGGTGTATAAAATACGAAGCAAACAAAACGAATACCTTCAACTTCAATTTAGCACGAATTTTTCACGTCTCCCCTAATATCACCACACCGTGGCGGGGACACTTGAGATGACTTTTAGTTTCACAGCGAACAGATGTTAACCAAGCCACCAAAATACACTGCACGCACAAATTTAATATTGACTATGCATAGACGATAAACCGTGACTACTTTAAGAGCCCGTGCGTCTACTTTCCTGCACACCAGTCGGAAAGCCAATCACCGCAACTTACGGAGGCAGCTCAGCGAATGACAATGCCGAAACATATGTTTGACCAAAAAATGCAGTCTGAGTTGTGACATTAAGCGATGCAAAACATCACGCTTGCACTGCTTAATGTCACAACTCTGCAGACTGCGTTTTTTTGGTTTAAACATATGTTTCGGTATTGTCATTCGCTTAGCTGCCTCCGTAAGTTGCGGTGATTGGGTCTCCGAGTGTTGTGCGGAAAAATAGACGCACGGACTTTTTTTTTTTTTTTTTAGCGTGAACATTATGTGGCCAAATAACCCACTTTAGAGTTTTTTTCTTCTTTTTTCCAACCTTTTTCTTTTGTATATATGAATGAAACCATAATTATACAAAGAAAATCGGGAATAGTGGCAATGCATACAGTGTGATAGAAAACATTACCGCAAGCCTTTTGTACTGAGTAATGTTCGTATCCCTAAACGTTTGTTATACGAAGACTTAGCGCTATGTTAAAATAAAGTTGTTGTTTTTTAAATTTTTTTTTATCATGAAATACTTAGAGGTTTGCTAGAAATAAGTAATTACAAAACAAATATGGTGTGAAAACTAATTTATTCCAGTATTTAATAGGTTAAGCCGATATTCTCCGACGGATCATCGTCAAACTGACGTCGTTTATTTAGTAGGCAGACCGCCGGGGTGACGTTTCGTCGGTGCATCCTCCTTAGCGCGGAACCTTTATTAACAATGGCTCGTCCTTGAAACGTCTTGTCTTGACTTCCTTTATTTCTTCCATTTCTTGTATCAGTCTAGGAAAAGGAAGCGAGACAGGAAAAAGAGAAATGAAACGATTAGAGAGCCACGCAGGGAAGTAACGTGGAAGTCGGAAGGATTTCCGTCGTTCCCTTGGCCTCCATTTGGCTCGCACGTTCTTGGGCATGATATACACCTCGCCTGGCACGTCTCGTTTTGTCTTGAAGGCTGTTCGGTCGCTTTGCTTATTCGGCTTCTTACGGAAGGTCATAAGTTACAACGCCATACGGTGCCTTTCTCTACATTTTACTTTTTGTGTCTGTGAACGTGCTCACCCTCGGAGGTAGGACATCCGCAAGCCTGAATTATTAAAGGTGTACATGTAAAGACGCATTAGAAGTAATCAACGCACCTTAGTGAATATATCAATTTTACAGATAATTATGGTTACTTTTAAGTTAACTAAATTATTGGGTAGCGTTTAAACTACCTCGTATGTAACATGCTGCTTTAGCTCACTTTTGTGTGTAGATTATGATTTGATTACTTACCATCCTTAATGATTAATCGCACAATTAAATCGATTTACTTCTAATTTCCCAACGTTATTAAGCGGCATATAAAGCGCTTTGTATTTAGTATATACCGCTGCGGCTTACTTTCATGGGTGGATTCTTAATCGTTTAATCTCCGCTCGTAGATTAACCGTAGGATTCATTTTTATTCAATTTTAAGGTAACTAAATTATAAGGCGGCACTTCGCATTTAATCTACTACGTTTTGTGACAGCTGCTATCTTTTCACGCGCGCGTAAATATGCCGCTATATGAAGTCAAGCTACCACCGCGGAACGCCAAACGGGGCAAAGGAAATTTCCCCTTTTTGATGCGCTTCGAGCGTTGTCGTGATATTGGGGGCCTGCGGCGTCTGGGACCGACAAACAGCTTCTATATAACAATAGACCGTAGTAATGAGCTTCATACGTCACCTCATATAGGCCAGTACGTGGCAAAGAAAGACCCCTGATGTGTTTATGTGAGGGCCTGCCGCGGGAGAACTTAAAGGGATTGTCCGCTCCTCGTTCCGGTCCTCATTCCCTTGCCGTTTCTCCTATTTTCGACGGGCGTACGTTTCTACGTATTATATTACTTTTTTTTTCTTATTCTTTTCACTGAGTTCCCTGTATACAAAATACAATTCCTGCAATTAGCACAAAGAGTAGAAGACCAAAAACGAATGGAATTGTATGGAATTGTATACGCATTGATTAGGCAGCCTTCAAATTAACAGACAACACTCCTCAGATAAAAGTAATTGAAACGGGTTCCACCGGGTAGCCTGCTCATTTGCATAATTTCTGGGTACCTTGAATATTTCACTTTTACAACGTTTCTTCAGCTATAGAGGACATTAGATGCGCCAAGAAAATGTCCACGATCTATAAGCAATTCACGAGCATCGCCTTTCCCTCGGAGCACTCGTGGATGAATTCGATTTATGGAAAGAGTTTTGAAAATAACGAGGCAGTGAATATGTTTATAATGGGCTCTGCTAGTACTATATGTTTAGGAGAAGAGAGAACTATGTTCTTCTCCACCAAAATTAACTATTTCGTGGAGCTTTCCACCAAAGCGAGGCACTATAAATTTTTAATGCCGAAGTTTTAGAATATAACGTGATCTTATTCAAAAGTTATAACCAATTTGCGGAAATTTTAAAATGAAAAAATTTAAACCAGCCT